GCACCCCCCCCCCCCCCCCCCCCGAGTTTGTTTATTTTATTTTATTTTTCACTATTTTCTATTTTCTATTTTCTATTTTATTATTATTTTAATTAACTAATTAACTTTTCATAAAATCAGAAAACCCCAAAAAAATAATATTTTTTTAATTTCATTATTTTATTATTTTTGTAAATAAATTGTAATAAATTAATTTAGTTTTTAATTAGGTTTAATTTTAACATATTTTGCATTAAATTAAAATTGATTTAGAATTAGGTTTTTTTTTAATCATTCTCATTTTATCTCCTTAATTAAAATAAAAAACCAAAAATATTTTCTTTTAATTAATTAATTAATTAATTAATTATTAGTTAGACTTAATTCTTAATTCAAAAAAGACCAAAAATATGCTTTATTTAATGAAAAAAGGGTCAAAACCCTAGGACACTCCGATTCAATTTTTCTCGCGCGCATATTATTTTTGATCCATATATTGTAATTGCTCCGAGGATGTAATAGCTTAACTAAAACTTTTACACTTTACTACTTTATTCCCCCAATTTTGGACATGTAAATAATCCCCCTCCCCGAAGCCTTGTAATAGCGTAGGATTTACAATTCCCGCACTTTAAATTCTTATACATATATTAACTGCTTAGATGTATGCTAACTAGGATTGCATGACAAGATCTGAAAACAAACGGTAGAACACCTAAATATACAAAGATAATATAACTGAAAAACAATACACTCGCACATGCCACTCTTAGGGTACACCTCACTTGGTTGCCTCAAACATGGTCATTGAGTATAGGATGTTTTAGAGGTCGCTCTCTTGTCCAAAGATCATAAGTTGCCTCGAAACGGTTGCCTCGAAAAAATGATCTAAGACATTAGGGTTACCGCTAAGGCGTCCTAACATTGCTTTAGTGACCACACGTCCCTTAAATCGAATTGACCCGAAAACTCCAACGACGGTGCTACCTACTCCTCAATAGTGGAATGGCACTGTCTAAAGGACATTTGCACAGTTTAATTCCTTTTTGAGTAGGTAGAGGTTCTCAATTACTTGCTCCTTTTAAAACAAAACAAAAACTTTTCGCACTTACACTTTCTTCAAAACAAAAAAACTCTTTTCAAATCCACAAACACAAAGAAAAGCAAACTTTTGAAAACACAATGAGCAAGTACCTAAGAGCCCGTGGATAACCACGGATAGAAAGGGTGTTAACACCTTCCCTTTCTATAATCTACCTCCCGAACCCGAGAAACATCTCGAAAAGGAATTTTTCTGTGCTTTTGTCCTTTCCTTGTTGGATAAAATAAAAGACGGTGGCGACTCTTGCTTACCGCGAAATTTTACGAAAACAAACGCAAAACGCGAACCAGCATTCAGAAACAGTCAGTTTTATTCCCACCGATCACATCTGTCCTCAAGCACTTAATCTTATTTCCAATTTCAAGCTCAATTAGTGCTTTGAATTGCTTGAATATTGAAAACACATCTGACTTCTTCTTGATTGGGTATCCCCATAATCTCCTGGAGTAATCATCAATGAATGATACAAAATATTTTGCTCCTCCTATGGACATTTGCAGCGAATCCGACACATCAGAATGAATCAAGTCAAGTATGTGTTTGCTCTTAGTATATGATCTATCAAACTTCAACCTATTTTTTTGCTTACTACACAATGCTCACAGAAAGATAGACTTACTGATTTGAGCCCGGGTAAGAGATCACGTTCTGCAAGAACTTTTAAGCTTCGTTCTGACATGTGGCCTAGTCTGCGATGCCACATTGATGTTGAGTTTTCTTGACTAGTTGATGCAATTGACACATAACCTTCTTGCAACGTCTCTCCTATAAGAATGTACAGATTTGTAGATAACCTTTCTGCCATCATCACTACTAGAGCACCTCTCACCACCTTTAAGATCCCACCTTCAATATGGGTCTTGCACTTGAGGTCATCTAATTGTCCAATAAACAATAAATTTTTCTTCAACCCTTTCACATGTCTCACCTCTTGAATTGTGCTAACTGTACCATCGTACATTTTTATTTTCACAGTACCAACACCAGCAATTTCTAAGGCGTAATAGTTTCCCATGAACATTGATCCTTCTGAGATAGGTTGATAAGTGTAAAACCAATCTCGTCGAGGAGTCATGTGCCATGTTGCTCCTGAATCAATTATCCAAACATTAGTGAGTTTTTTACTACCTTTGAAATTAGTTGTTTCTCCGCTATATAGAATCTCTCCATCATCAGAGGTATTGGCAATACATCCTTGATATGAACTTGCCTCAAAAGACTTCTCACCATTCTTCTTAAACCAACAATCTCTTTTCAAGTGCTCTTTCTTGCCACAATTGTAGCATCTCACATTTATCTTACTTCGATATTTTGATCTACCATGACTTTGGCTCCCACTAGGGCCACGTTCCACTGATCTGCCTCTTGTCATTGTCAAATCTTCTACTTGTTTTGAGTTTTCTTAACGGTCTTCCTTATTTATACGCCTGGACTCTCCCTCAAGAATAGCTCCGACAACATCATCAAAGTATAGACGGTCTGTAACATTATTATTTGTTAAGTTGAAGACAAGTGAATCATATGAATCTGGTAAGCTCTGAAGTAGAAGTTCTGCACGTTCATTTTCTGCTATGGTGAAATTTGTCGATGTAAGTTGAGCAAACATCGTATTAAGAGTGTTAATATGATTTGTCACAGATTTAGATTCACTCATTCGAAGAGTGTAGAGTCTTCTCTTTAAGAAAATTTTATTGTGAAGTGACTTGACCTCGTACAATTTGATGAGAACATCCCAAATCTCCTTTGCAGTTTTCTTTTCGGCAACGCTAGATAAAACTGAATCCGAAAATGCTAAGTGCAAGTTGGAAACAACATTGTTATCCATCTCATACCACTTCTCATCAGATATTCCCTCAGTTCTATCTTCAATTGCTGCTAAGCAATTATCCTTCCTCAGGATTGCCTTTATCTTCAATTTCCACAGAGAGAAATTACTCCTATTGAACTTCTTAATCTCAAATGTTGTCGTCATGGTAATTTCAATTAAACTGGCTTGCACAAAAGATGATGATCAGGAGTGATCGATGGTGATTGAGGATGGTCTAAGGTGATTGATGGTGGTTAGAATGGTTGTTGGGTTGTCATTGATCTGCACTTATCTGATGGTCATCATCAATTATCACTAGTTATTGGATAGACTATTATTGGACAAACTCTCAAAATTATTTTGGGGATCTTGGGTTTCATATCTTCGGTTGAAGACTCGTATTGGATAGACTCTATTGGGTATCAGAATAACATGAAATAATTATAACACAAATAACATATAAGAGAATAGTATAGAAATGAGAAGAAACACAATTTAATGATTATAGAATAATGCCTAAACAATAATATGAGTTCTCTATATATAAGAGACTCATGTACTAAAATAAGTTGATACATATTTAGTAAATTATGCTTAATCTTCTCTTTATCATAGAAATCATTGATTTCTAATGCATTGACATTTTCTACAAAATAAATGACTTTATATTCTCACAGACTCCCCTCGAAGAAACAACTCTTTCGAAGAGGTATTGTAACCCAGACACATGATGTCGTATGGGTGTTCTGTCAACAGAATTTGGAGGACATGGAACACCTTATGCTGCATTGTTCCAAGTTGAAGTTGTTATAGAAGAAGATTCAAGGATGGTTGGACGTAGAGTTTCCTGTTGTTGATGATTGTAGGAGTCACTTGATAAAAAATGTGAAAGAATTAAGGCGCAAGATGTCAAGCAATAGGTCTGGAATCGTGTGGTAGAGAGCTTGTTAGTGTATATGAAATCATAACAACAACATAGTTTTTAACAATATAAAATTCGACATTGACGAAATCTTCTTCAAAACTTTGTGATTTTTTTGGTGGTGACTCACAATAGGTTCCAAGAATAGAATTATGTGTAATTTTTATAAATGATTTAAAAATTGCGGGTGATTTCTTAGCAGTTTCAGCAGTTTTAGTATTTTGACTTTTTGGATTTTTTTTTTACTCCTTTTCTTATTTAAGAGTTGCTTATAAAAAAATAATTATCACTAGTTATTAAATAGCGGTAGTATGTGATTAATGGTGTTGTGGTTTCTTATCTTTAAAACAAATATATAAATTAAAAAATTTAGTTATTTTAGTTTTTAATTTTAATTAAAAACAATTTTGAATTCAATAAAAAATTAAATCATCTCTATTTTTGTCGAATATATTTTGATTTTAAAAACAATTTTCAAAAGTAAAAACCAAAACTCATTGTCACCCAAACAGACCTTAAGAAAGACATATACTATGTTTTTAATTTTTGTTTTTGTGTAGATACTTGTTATGTATGAAGCTTTTGACTTGGTATTACAATTTTTACTATATTATTCCTTTCACATTTAATAGTGTAGCATTATTTTTTATGAAAAATTGGGTTTAATTAGTAGAATATGACTATGACTACATTGACTACATATAGATGACTACAAAAGTTTTAAAACATATTGCATTCTTAGATGTTTGAATTCAAATCTTACTTAAACTAAAACATTCTTTATTATCCAACAACCAAAAAAAAAAAACTCAAAAATTAATGTTATTTCATTTTAATATTCTTGGAAATTATTACATTTTGAGAATTTTGACTTCAAAACATTAACTTAAATTCAAGTCACTCTTTATTCTCATGTAACAAAAAAAAAATTACTAAAAAAATCCATCTTATTTTATCTTTCATATTTCATTTTTGTCTTTAACTGTAACACATTATTCAGTACCTACAAAGTTAGTAGTTTTAGTTTATTCTCTTTTTTCTCCAATAATTTCATATATAAATACACAAAGAAGAAAACATCACAAAACCTTTCTCTAGCCACTCAAAAAAAGAAAAAACCATAAACCAAAAATTCATATTTTGCATCAAAAAATCTTGTTTTGTCCTTCAAAACAACCTTAATTATTGTCATGGAAAACCAAATTGAAGTAGAAAATCAACAACACAAACCTTCACAACCATCTTCACAATCTTGTTCTCCAACTCATGAATTCTCCTTCTCGATCTCACATAACACATTCAACGAATCATTCCTAAATAGCAACAATAAATCAAAATCATCTTCACCAAATTCCTTTACAGCCCTTGATTTATCACCAGCTGATGTTATTTTCTTCAATGGTCATTTACTTCCTCTCCAAATCCTCTCAAACTTCCCTTCTTCGATATCGCCTCGCGCTTCGACGAATTCAATGGACAGTTTCACACTCCCTATAAGAGAATTATTCTCAGAAGAAGAAGATGATGAAAATTTCGCCACAAAGGAGAGCAAAATCAAGAATATGGAACCATCAAAAAAGGTAGAGGGTAAGTTCAAGTTTGCATTTTCATTATTTAGTTCAACAAAAGGGACAAAAGGGTGTCACAAAGAGAAAGAAAAGAAAAAAAAGATGAGATTTGATTTTCATGTGATTCGTCATGCATTGAAAAAGTACTTAAGAATGGTGAAACCACTTTTCAAAAAAGAGAAAATTAGAGTTCATGATAAAAAGTGTTATTCTTCTTCATATTCAGGAAATTTAACACCTAGAAATAAACAAGAGTTGATGAAAAGTTGGAAATTAGGACAATATTCATCAGCACCGGCATCGATGAGAACTTCTCCATCAAATAGTGGTGTTCTGTTTCCAACTACACCTTTAACTCCTGTTAGTGATAGCTCCATGGAAGAATTGCAGAATGCTATTCAAGCTGCAATTGCTCATTGTAAAAACTCATATTCAAAAGATGAGATACTCAATTGCTGATTTCATCAATCCTAGACACTTTTTTGTTACTAGAATTATAGTTTCCTTGTTAAACATTTTGATTATTGTGTATGTATAAATGTATTATTATGATGATGAGATTCACAAGAGAATATGATATATGTATTATCAGAGAAAGTAAATATTTGTGACATTTTTTATGATTACTTATCACTCTGAACCATAGGGGAAGTAGGGGCAGGAGGAGCACCAACGAGCGTCCAATGCTCCAGGACCACAAGAGATGGAGATACTAAATCTCTATCAAAAATTTTAAGATATTAAGGAAATGAGTCACGTCTCTTATAAATCGAATATTTCATTTACTCATAGACGATGTATGACATAACTTAACCACTCACTTGCACCCGTCCAACACCGAGTACTTTTGAGTTTACAACAATTACATACTCTGCACACTTACGGAGATCACTGATACTAATACACTCTTGTTAATCGTTGAAGTAAGTTTTTTTAAACGGTTGAGATGTTTTAGAAGCCGCACATGTCATGTTCTTTTTCATCTATAATGTTGTATCTTACATTGTTCTTGGACATCCATAACTACCTCTGAGCATTTGTGTGGCTATGTTAATTGTTTTATTCTTTCCATTTCCTTTGTGGTGTGGTATTTTATTTTCATTCAAAACCATATCCAATGTTAGTCCCACATAAACGCATTTGGGCCAGGTATACTAGATTGATTAGATTCCTTTGCCAAATGATGGGTTCTTTTCAGTCATAATCATGTTAGAAAATTTGCATGGATTCGTCTACACAATTCTCGTCTTACAAATCAATTTTATAAAATTTGAGTTATGTCCAATTCAAATTCTCTAATGGTATTGCAAATTCAAATTACGAACTCGGAATATCAATTCACTAAACTTCTCTAATTGTATTGTTTATTTGATTGGTCTATCAATTTATGATGTGATATTTTATTTCAAATAGTTTCTTTTGTCTACGCTGTTAAAAATATTAAACTTGATTTAGGTCTAAATTTATTAATTGGTTTTTGCGCTTAGTTATTTTAAGCTTAAGTAATTTTCTAAAGAATTCTTGTAATATTTGGAATCTCTAGATATTTTTTATAATTATAATATTTTCTAGAATAGTCTTTGGATATCTAGAGTTGAGAACTCTCTAGAATTAGTGTGTCTAGAGTTCTCCTTAGAGTACTATAAATAGAGATGTAATCCCACACATTTGTATTAAGCAAAAATACAAAGTTCTTCTCCTCCATAAAGAATTATCCTACTTATCAAATTTATATTCAAACCTTTAATATTTCCACACACTTCTCCTTAACATAAAATGTCTTATTTCCAACAAAGTAATATCAAAGTTTCAAGATTCACAAAATGGCGAATGGTGGCTTCCCTTTCCAAATGTCGATGCTCACAAAGAACAACTATGATAATTGGAGTATCAAGATGAAGGCGCTACTAGGAGCTCAAGATGTGTGGGATATTGTTGAGAAAAGCTTCAAGGATCAAGACGAATCCTCGCTAAGCCAAGGTGTAAGAGAGACATTGAAGGAGTCAAGAAAGAGAGACAAGAAAGCTCTCTTTTTTATTTATCAATCGGTGGATGAAGATACATTTGAGATGATATCCAACGCAACAACGACCAAAGAAGCATGGGACAAGCTTCAAACTTGCAACAAAGGAGTTAAGCAGGTAAAAAAGATTCTTCTTCAAACTCTTAGAGGTGACTTTGAATGTTTATTTATGGAGGAGTCCGAGTCAATTTCAGATTATTTTTCTCGAATATTGGCTGTAGTCAATCAACTTAAGAGAAATGGTGAAGATGTTGATGATGTGAAAGCCATGGAGAAAATACTTCGCACTTTAAATCCAAGTTTTGACTTCATTGTTACCAATATTGAAGAAAATAAGGATCTAAAGACCATGACTATTGAGCAACTCATGAGTTCCTTACAAGCATACGAAGAAAAACAAAAGAGAAAAATTAAACAAAAGGAGGCTATGGAGAAATTACTACAACTCAACATAAAGGAAGCAAACTATGCGAATTACAAGAGCTAAAGAGGACGAGGTCATGGTCAATATCGTGGACGTGGACGAGGACATGGAGGAGAAAGAAGAGGTGGTTGCAATAACTACTCCAACAACTTCAACAATGGAGAAAGAAGTTGGAATCCACAAGCAACAAGAGGTCGTGGAAGAGGAACCTCATGGTCGAGGAGCAATAAATCACAAGTCAAATGTTTCAACTGCAACAAGATTGGTCATTACGCAACCGAGTGTAGATTCTCGAAGAAGGTGGAAGAGAAAGCTAATTTTGTAGAAGAAAAAGGTGGAGAAGAAGAAACTTTTCTACTCGCGTTTCAAAACGAAGTTGAAGAGAAAAGAAATAAGTGGTACTTGGACACTGGCGCAAGCAACCACATGTGTGGCGATCGAAGCATGTTCGTAGAGATCAATGAAGCGACAACTGGTGATGTATCATTTAGAGATGACTCAAAGATACCGGTCAAAGGCAAAGGTAAAATTATCATACGCTTGAAGAACGGGAGTCATCAATTCATATCCAATGTCTATTATGTGCCTAACATGAAGAATAATATTTTGAGTTTGGGACAATTATTAGAGAAAGGCTATGACATCCATTTAAAAGAACATAGTCTTTTCTTAAGAGATTGTAGCATAACTTGATTGCTAAGGTGCCTATGTCAAAAAATAGAATGTTCCTCTTCATGGCTATGGCATCTACGATTCGGGCACCTCAACTTTGATGGTTTAGAACGTTTTTCGAAGAAAGAGATGGTGAGAGGCTTGCCTTGGATCAACCACCCAGACCAACTATGTGAAGGATGTCTAATTAGGAAGCAATTTCGAAAAAGTTTTCCAAAGGAATCAATGTCAAGAGCGACAAAGCCACTAGAGCTCATACACACGGATGTCTGTGGACCAATCAAACCCAACTCGTTTGGTAAGAATAAATACTTTCTCCTCTTTATTGATGATTATTCCATAAAAATATGGGTTTATTTCTTGAAGGAGAAGTCAAAAGTATTTGACAACTTTAAGAAGTTCAAAGCCCTCGTGGAGAAAGAAAGTGGTCTTTCCATCAAGGCCATGAGATCTTACCGAGGAGGAGAGTTCACTTCAAATGAGTTCGATAAATATTGTGAAGACCATGGAATCCGTCACCCACTGACTGTGCCAAGATCGCCTCAACAAAATGGAATATCAAAGAGAAAGAATCAGACTATACTTAACATGGTATGAAGAATGCTCAATACCAAGAAGATGCCGAAGGAGTTTTGGGCCAAAGCAGTGGCATGTGCAATTTACTTGACAAATCGTTCCCCAACAAGAAGCGTGCATGAAAAGACACCCCAAGAAGCATGGAGTGGAAGGAAACCTGGAATCTCTCACCTCAAAGCATTTGGAAGCATTGCCTATACCCATGTTCCAGATGAAAGAAGAACAAAGCTCGATGATAAAAGTGAGAAGTATGTGTTTGTGGGTTATGACTCAAGCTCTAAAGGGTACAGGATTTATAACCCAAATATTGGAAAGATCATCATAAGTCGTGATGTGGAGTTTGACGAAAAAGATTATTGGGATTGGAGTACTCAAGAAGACAAGTATGATTTTCTTCCTTACTTTGAAGAAGAAGAAGAAGAAGAAGAAATAGAATAACCAATGATAGAGGAACATATTACACCACCTTCCTCACCGACACCAAGGTTGAATGAAACAAGTTCAAGTGAGAAGACACCACGACTAAGGAGCATTGAAGAGATTTATGAGGTAACCGAAAACCAAAACAACATTAACCTCTTTTGTCTTTTTGGTGATTGTGAGCCTCTAAGCTATCAAGAAGCGGTAGAAAACATAAAGTGGAGAGACGCCATGGACGAAGAAATCAAGTCTATCACGAAGAATGATACATGGGAACTTACTACACTTCCACAAGGACATAAAGCAATTGGAGTAAGATGGGTGTACAAGGAAAAGAAGAATGCAAAAGGAGATGCGGAGAGATACAAAGCAAGATTGGTGGCGAAAGGCTATAGTCAAAGACAAGGAATTGACTATGATGAGGTATTTTCTGATGTTGCTCGTCTTGAAACTATTAGACTGATCATTTCCTTGGAAGCCCAAAATGAATGGAAGATCTATCAAATGGATGTGAAATCAGCCTTCTTGAATAGTTTTCTCGAAGAAAAAGTTTATATCGAGCAACCACTAGGCTATGAAGTAAAAGGGCAAGAAGAAAAAGTCTTGAAGTTGAAGAAGGAATTGTACGGTCTCAAGCAAGCACCGAGAGCTTGGAATGTTTGAATCGACAAGTAATTTTAAGACAAGAACTTCATCAAGTGCCCATATGAGCATGCACTCTATATCAAAGTGCAAAATGGAGATATTTTAATTGTGTGCTTGTATGTAGATGAATTGATTTTCACAGGGAACAATCCAAACATGTTCGAAGAGTTCAAAAAATACATGTCAAATGAATTTGAGATGACAGATATGAGGTTCATGGCATGTTATCTTGGCATCAAAGTAAAGCAAGAAAACAAAGGAATTTTCATCACCCAAGAAGGCTATGCCAAAGAAGTCATTAAGAAGTTCAAGATTGATGATGCCAATTCAGTTGGCACCCCTATGGAATGTGGTAGCAAGTTAAGCAAGCATGAAAACAGGGAGAATGTGGATCCAACTCTTTACAAAAGTTTGGTTGGAAGTCTACGTTACTTAACAAGTACAAGGCCAGATATTCTCTATGTTGTAGGAGTTGTAAGCCAATACATGGAAGCTCCAACAACAACTCACTTCAAGGCGGCAAAGAGAATCCTTAGATGCATTAAAGGTACAACTAACTTTGGCTTGCACTATTGCTCTTCTAGTAATTATGAGATTGTTGGCTATAGTGATAGCAATTGGAGTGGAGACTTGGATGATAGGAAAAGCACTACTGGTTATGTGTTCTTTATGGGAGATACTGCTTTCACTTGAATGTCA